CAAGCTGGGACGTCTGTGATCCCTTTTATTGAGGGCAGTGGGGTGCCACTGCACCAGTCAGAGATAGGATTCCGAGGTCCCAGCTTTGGGAAGTTTCCCAATAGCTGGCAGAAAGCATGCCCCGAGTCCACCCCTTTCTTCCAAACATTTCTGCCTGCACACATCAGGGGCTTTCCTGCCAGGTGATCCAGCCATAACCTGGGCAGAGCTGGGGATGCCGGGGGAGAATCCAAGGGCCCCAGCAGAGGGGAAGGCAAGTACAAAATAGCAGGGAACAAGGCCCTGAACCCCACCATGCTGCCTTGTGGGCAGCTGCGTGGATCCTGCCGGTAACCCCTTACCTTGCACACATTCCCTCAGCAGGCTGGTGCACCTCCTCACCAAGAGTGCAAACATGGAGAGCCCCAGGGCCGTGGCCTGTTCCTGGATGACGGAGCGGCAGTCTTCAGAAATGCACTCTAGGAGACAGAGAGAGGGTTCAGTGGAGAGCCGGTGTGATGCTCCATCTTGCTTCGCCTTCGCAGCCTCCCTTTATGCATCCCACACGGAGCAGGGATCTCTGCAGGGGTGGGTGATTCCCCAGCTCACACCTGTCCTGGACCCAATTGCTCCACACAGGGGGAAAACAAAGGTGGTGAGTAGCTGCTCTGGAGCGGGCAGAGGCTGCAGTCACACTGCCCGCGTCGTGCCTGATCCCACCTCATGTGCTGAGCCGGCCCGGCCCGGCCTGAGCCGGCACTCAGGGCTCCCAGCACAGAAGCTGCTGCTTGGAGCTGATGCCTTCCCCTGAAGGAGGGGGTTATGTTTAAGTGTTAAAAGGGTAATTAGCTGCATGTTTGATCTTTGTCCCTGCTGGAGTTTTAACCTCAGCAGCTGAGGAGGGGGCTCCTCCCATTAATTCACCAGTCACACAACAGCTTGTCAAGAGACCTTAATTGAAGCTGTTACTCAAGTAGATGCCACACGACCACAGTTCTTCCAAACAGAGCCGGCTCAAAGTGAGAGCAAATCCCCCCGGCACATCTACACCCAGCCAGAAACCACTTCTGAGGCTACTGAGAGCAGTGGGGAGCTGGCTCGAGGGAACTGCCTGGAGCTGGGCATGGGTTACATTTAGCGAGGCTGAGAGCACCGTGGGGCATGCCAGGCTGCCCGCGCTCGCTCAGGCACCACACTGCCTGCTCGCAAAAGATTTTTAAGCCTTACGGGCAGCCTCTGCCCTCTGAATCCCCTCTGCCCCTCCAGATCCTCTCTGCCCCCAATTCACATCTTCCCTTGAGATGTGGGTGGGGAGCGGCTGGCCGGGGGCTT